AGAAATGCAAGACTGGAAAAAAGAGAAGGCAGAGTTGGGGAGGCTTTATCTTCCCCTGAGATGCCATTTATGAGAGAAAAGGGAAGTCAAGACTCACTGCCAGCAGCGCTGGTGGGCTTGGCGGCAGAGAGAGTTACGTGAGTAGGGGTAGAAAGATTGGTTACGTCATGGAGCTGGCTGAGGACCGAAGACCGCCGGCGCACAGCACCCTGAAATGACCCGCTTCTCTTGAAGGTACTCACTACCTCCATCTGTGGGAGAGAAAACGAGATAAAGGTTGGCTTGCACTATGGTCCATGCCACTGCAGGGGGGAGGGCAGGGCGAGGCTGGGGACCACACTGGGGGGACACAGTGACAGCAAAGCCTCAACTAGGTCAGCCCCGCTCATGGAGAGCTGACGCTGCTTGTGACCAGGCTGTGACCTAGAGAGGATTTGCTGGGCAAATGATTAGTGCTGGTGGGATTGCCAGGGAAGGGTTACAGATGGGGGTGAGGGGGTGGGCAGGGCACACCGCAAACATTTCAGAAGTAGTCATTGGCATTCACAATATGCTCATCACAAGCCACTCAGTACAAGTCAGTCAGTACCTGTGTCTGGCAATACTTTGTTATCCTACTTCGGTAGCTCTCAACCTTTTTTGCCGCCCCAACACACCTGAGGGATATGACACGCTCTCATTAGAAAGAGGCCATTCTCCCATCAGATCAGAGGTGCGCCGGTGCACCTCCGGGGCACACGGGTTGGGCATCTCTGTCAGGAAGTCTTCTTCTTTCATCTTTTGTCTTTCCCTAAGCAGGGGCTTCTGCAGACCTCCAGGTTATAGGGACCCTCAACAAGAGACCCACAGGCATGGAGACTTGGAAGACTGGGGTGCAATGATGGTTTCTGCTATGTCCCTCCTTTTTTTTTTTTTTGGTGCCAGTCCTGGGGCTTGAACTCATGGCCTGAGTGCTGCCCTTGAGCTTCTTTGGCTCAAAGCTAGCACTCTACCACTTGAACATATCCATTTCTGACTTTTTTTTTTGGAGTAGTTCATTAGAGTTAAGAGTCTCGTGGACTTTGCTTCCTGGCCTAGCTTTGAACTGCAACCCTCAGATCTCAGTCTCCTGAGGAGCTAGGATTACAGGCGTGAGACACCGGCACCAAGCTTACGTCTCCACTCTAACATCTCTGGAATTGAAAAGGAAGAAGGTCTCTGAACAGCAAGGTTCATAGGAGAGCTTTGTGTATAAAGCCTGCTAAACACCCCCCCCCCCGCCCAACTTTAGATTTCCTGACTCCACTTTTAAGTGAGCTACACGCAGGTAGTGGGATCCCAAGGAACTGGAGTCTAGTGACCACATGTGACACTGTTCCCATCACGAGACCCCATACCGAGACTCTGCTAGTGTGCAGTGTGGCACATTCACAGCCTCCTCTTAAGGAATGACCTCAGTATGAAGAATCTTTGGCCTTACAGGGTGAAGCTGATTTCTAGAAAGCACCATGTAGTTCGCCAGATGACATGAACAGCAAAGCCAGTGTGAATGTCTGCAGCTCCAGCACCCTTACTACCTGTCCCACCCCAGTGGCTCCACGGTAGGCCCCGGCTTCAGCCGTGTGGTGGACAGAGCCCGGGGCTTCTTGAAGAAGGCAGCTTGACTGTTCACTCTCCCCCAACCAAAATACAGATGGACGTCGTTTTGACCTTGGATACACTGTGGAAAAGACTCATCATCCTTCTACTCGACCTGCTCAGCACCACTTTTGCCCAGCCCAGCCCATTCCCTTGCTCCCTTGCTTGTGACTGCAGCAGAGACGCACGTGGTAAGGTAGCTGGCGGCCGTGTGTCAGCATATGGAAGGAAGATGGCGAGGTGATGGTGTCACAGCCTCTTGAGGGGATTTCCTCTAGGTTTAAGTATGTCTGGGCTATAGCGACAGGTCTCTTTCAAGCAAGGACAGTTATTGGTGGGGGTGGGGGGAGATGAAAAGGAAAGGGAAACATGCCTTTCCTGCATCAGATTTGCATTGGCTTCTCCTGGTTCCATGCAGCCTTCCCATGGGACAACAGGACCAGTGAACATACCACCCTGTCACCCCCTCCCACCAGGAGCCCAAGCCCTGGGCCAGGAACAAGGCCCACTTGTTGGTGAAGCTTCTTACTGGTTTATAATGGAATGCACAAAAGACAGACCACATTATGAGCATTCAAACAGCTACATGTTCTGGGTTTGAAGGACTCTCTTTTATTCTAGAATGACACCCTGGCATCTGGTGCATTGATACATCAGTAGGGAACAGTGCTGAGAGAGGGTAATGGGTTACTTAGCAACAGAAAATATGCAGGCCTCAGAAATCTGGGGAGCAATTTTGTGGTTCACAAAAATCCAGAAATCTGGGGCCAGCTGCCTAGAAAAATGTATGGAACCCCAAGGGGCCTCTTGCAGGCTTTAGTTTTGCTTTTCAGGCAGGCGTTTTGAATCAAAGAAGCAGAAAGTCTATAAACCTGAGCTAAAATAATTGATTGGCTCAGCATTCTTTAAAGACATGGTAAATTTGATATGATAAAGTCAAACTGAAAAGCCCCCAGCATCGAGATCCTGCGGAAGAATCAGAGTAGCTTTATAGAAGGGAAAGGAATGGGCTGGGGGGAACTATCTTGAGAGCCTTGGGCCCTTGCCAGCCCTGGCCAGTCCTGACTGTCACTGGGTGACTTTGGGCCAGCTCCTTCCCACCATTTCCTTGCTTCTAAAGCATCTCCAAGGGTGCCAACCATCAGAATGGCATGGAAAATCACAACTCCAACTGATGGGACTCACTTCTGTTAGTCAGGCAGTGGTAACAGGCCAAGCAGTCCACAGACATATAAAGATATGACAGACACAGATGGCCGAGCTATTGCTGACACTTCAGATGCAGGGGCAGAGCTTCTGTCTGTATCCACCCCCACCCCAGGCTCTGCAGTCTGCTAGATGGAGTACTGGGGAATATGTGAGGGCTGTTTTTTTAAACATTTGATATGCTTTCAATTTAGCACAGAAATATTTATTGCGGGGAACAAGAAAACACTATATAGGCTGTACTCCTGACCTGGCCTGGGCATGGTGTGAGCAGTTAGCACTCGAACTTGGGAGAGGAGACTCTGGCCATGGCTCCCACAGCTGCCCTCTTTTTCTCCTGGGCCTCTGTGTCCTGGACAAGTCAGAGCTAAGATGTGCACCTAGGAGATCCTTCCCTGCCCAGCCCCCTGATTCTCAGCTAGAAAGTTCTCTCTAGGCCCAGAGACATTTAGCATTAGCTTCTTTGATGCTGCCTTACTCAGCCTTTCAGGATCCCACTCTCCAGAGGTAGGCTTGAAGACTGCAGTTCTAGAAAGTTCCCCAGATCATAGTGACAGGCTTGGACTCAGTGCTGTAAGCTGGGTGTGGAACTGGCCCATGGTAGCAGTAGGGAGTAGAGTGAGAAGGCTTCACGAGGCTTGGTGGCTGTTGAGCGGGCTTTTGTATGGTGAAGAGAGGGCACTGGGGGCAGCATGCAGCAGCAAGGAGGGAGGCACAGAGGCATGGATGAGCATCGTAAACATATGGAAAGGCAGTCAGGGTCACAGAGTGTGGAGAGGAATGGGGTGATACCAACAGGATGGAACTTCAAGGAGCACAATCAAGTGCCTGGACCTCATCCTCAGGGCGTTGGAGAGAGGCTTTGTAGGCCCCAGCATGGAGGTGGCACCAGAGGGGCTGAGCTAAGCAAGATGAGTGGAGTAGTGGGAGATGGCGAGACTCGGACCCAGACACGGGAGGAGGGACACCCCAGGCGGGAACCTATCAGATCCATGGGGTTGTAGGGGAGCAGCTGTGGAGATTAGGAAGGAATGGGGCACTAAGGACATCTTAGGGACAAGCGGTCACTATGTATGGTAGGCAGGATAAAGGTAGAACCAGAAGCTTCTCAGGTCTTGCCCCAGGAAGTTGTTCCAACAGACTCCCAAGGGAGATCTAGCCAGGTGGCCGTGCCTGCGCTGGTAAGTCCCCAGGGAGAAGTGATTGGCAATAGGTCCGGACCTAGGGACTGTCACCTAAGAGAAGGTGACTAGGCCCTTGGGAATGTGGTAACGTGAGAGGGCTGAGGCTGTCCAGAGGATGTTAGGGAAGGGTAGGTGGTCAAGGCCAGGGGGCCTGGTGTGCTAGAGGACAAAAGTAGACAGAGCTCCCAATGGATCTCTTCCCTCTCTACTAGGCCAGAGGGGTTTACAGCATGGCAAAGCATGGGCTGAGTGACAGATGGGCTTAGCAGGAGCAGAGAGACTCAGAAGGGACAGCAAACTGCCAGAGTGACTGGTAAGGAGGAATGATGGAGCAGGCGGAGACCTTGTAAGCCATGGCGAGAGCTGTTTCTGGGTAGTACAATCATGACAGGGTACCAGGGAAGGATCTGGAACCTTCTGGCAGGAAAGTTGGCCAGGAAAGAGCTAGAAGCAGACATAAGGGTAGCTGTAGCACACCAGCTCTTGTGAAGTCTTCAAAAATGCCTACCACTGGGTGGTACAGTGACCATTTGACTTTATAGCCTTTGGATCAAGAGAAAGGACCAATTTGGTGGCAGTCAATTCCTTAAAGGAATCCTCTGAGCAGTCATTACAGTATGTGCCAGCGTATGCGGTGCTTGCTCTCTGAAGTGGGCATCTCTTTCCAAGAACATAACTTGCCCATGGCCTGGTGGCAGTCCTCACCAAGTAAAGGGAGCTGTGCTGGTTTGAGCCCCTGAGAGCTGGCTGTTGGTCATTGGCATATACCTTTAGTTTCCTGGCCCTGAAGGCTGTGTCAGGCAGAGGCCATCTCTGCCCCCAGGGTGCAGTGAGTACAGCAAGATGGCAGATGGGATGCTAGAAACTGCGTGTGCTTGGCAGCAGGACCTACGGGCTTCCCTCAGCTTCTACTTGCCCAGTCCCTGCTTCTTGCCTGTTTCCTACCCTCTCCGGGCAGAAGCACCAGGAGAGCCAAGAGAAACAGTGTCTTACCTGCGTCTGAATCCGATTGAGGCCTCGGAACCAGAGGATCTGGCCCCTGCGGAGCTCCCGCTCAGCGTGGTCAATCTCCTCTTCCCCCTCGGCCAGCTCCTCATCCGTCATCTCATCTTTCCCGGGCCCATGCCCTGCTTCCTTCAGGCACTTCAGCTGGCTGGTGGGGATGGTGGCGATGACCTGGGGGAGTCGCAGTGCAGTGACAGCAAACAGGTGGCATAAGAACAAGCTTTGTGGGAGGCAGGAAGAGAGCAGAGGCCACACCTCTTGCCCCCACATGCGGGGGCCTGGCATTTCCTTGGGCCTGGAAGACTATGCTTTCCTAAACTTGCTTCTTCCCGCAGCAGATTCCTCCTCCCCCAGTGAGTCTCCTCCACCTAGAGGGCTGGGAAAACAGCTGGGATGTCCACCATTGAGCACTATGCAGTAAAGTCAGGTCGGGCCCCTGCCCTACTCCTGGAATGGATCTTTTTTTTGTTTTTGTTTTTTAGGCCATTTCTGAGACTTGAATTCTGTGTCTGGGCACTGTCCCTGAGCTTCTTTGGCTCAAGGCTAGCACTCTACCATTTGAGCTACAGTGCCACTTCCAGCTTTTTCTGTGTATGTCATACTGAGGAATTGAACTCAGGGCTTCAGGCATGCTAGGCAAGCACTGTACCACTAAGCCACCTTCCCAGACCCTGGAATGCACCAAACCTCCTGCTTGAGAGGCATGTGGTTCATTCCCAGCCTTGGACCACCTGCTAGTCTATGCAAATATCATGATTTATATTGGGGATCTTGGGTCACAAAGGGATTGGAGAATGAGGCCAGCCATCTGGGCACTGCATGGCAATGTGCCAGACAATGAAAAACTCTGGGCACCACAGACTGTGTTTTTCCTAGCTGACCAGATTCCACACATGCTGTCTTTCACTATTAGCTGAGAAAGGCAAGTGTGAGTATGTGACTCCCTGGGAGAATTGTGAAGGATAAAGGTCTAGAAAAAGACCTGGGATCAATGGCTGACAGGGAGGAGAGTGACAAGGAGGGTGACAGCTGGGAAGGGCAGGAGAAGAAAGAGCCAGGTAAGAGTGAAGAGAAGGCCTGGCTTTTTTTCCACGTCATCGTGTGAAAGAATATGGATTCTCTCATCTTGGATGTCTGAGCAGGAACCTGTCGACATGCTGAAGAGCAGACTTAGTTTTTTTTTTCTCATGGAAATTTTTTTCTGTTGGATTTTTTTCCCACCCAAACACATCTTATTTTTGTAATTAAAAAAGGTCATTAAAGGGGCTGGGAAGGTGGCTCAGTGGTAGAGTGCTTGCCTTGCATGCTCGAGGCCCTGGGTTCAATTCCTCAGCACCACATAAGCAAAAAGAAAAAAGCCGAAGTGGTGCTGTGGCTCAAGTGGTAGAGCGCTAGCCTTGAGCTGA